ACTTGCTCACTCTCTTGCTCTCTTACTCACTTGCTTTCTTCTTCTTTTTTTTTGAGCTTTGGGTCACACCCGGCCATGCTCAGGGGTTACTCCTGGCTCTGCACTCAGGAATTACCCCTGGCGGTGCTCAGGGGACCATATGGGATGCTGGGAATCAAACCCTGGTTGGCTGCATGCAAAGCAAATGCCCTTACCCGCTGTGCTATTGCTCCAGCCAAGGCTCACTTACTTTCTTAATCTCTCTTCTTTTTTCCTTGTAGACACCAATTTGAAGTTTACTACTGAAAGGTTGCCATGTAATGTATATTACTTTATTTCATTTCAGCTTCCATATGACTCAGTTATACCACTCCTGGGAATATATGCTAGGGACCCAAAAATACAATGCAAAAAAGTCATCTATACTCTTGTTTTCATCACAGTACTATTTACAACAGTGAATAAATGACCCAAGTGCCTGAGAAGAGATAAATGGATAAAGATGCATTGGTACATCTACATAATGAAATACTATGCAGCCATTAGGGAAAATTAAGTCATGGAATTTTATTATACATGGATGGACATGCAGCATATCATACTGAGTCAGAGGGAGAGGGTCAGACATGGATTGACAAATGTTTAAAATTTTGCATCATTTTATTTTAGGCTCCATGGTTTTAAATACCATTAATGGGAACCTAAACAGTAATACAGCATCCAAGCCATTTGCCTTGCACAAAGCCAACCTGTGAGGAGTGATCCTTAGTCAAAGAATCAGGAATAAGCCCTGAGCACATCCAGGTGTATCTTCCCAAAAGCAAATAAATAAATAAACAAAATACTGTTAATGGTAGGGTTACAGGCATAAAATATCCCAGCACTACATCCTCCACCAGAATGTTCACATCCTTGTACCATTATCCCAGTCTCCCCTGCCCAGTCTACCCATGACCCCATGCCTTCTCTGTGATAAACTTCCTACTGAAGATCAGTTCTCAATTTCTGTTGCAGTTGGACACTTGCTATCCCCTACTATGTTTTTTATATCCCACTTTTGAGAAAGATCGTCTGTCTTCCCCGCTCTTATAACTTCACCCAGAATGATACTCTACAGATCCAACCACATAGTGGAAAATTGCTTGGTTTTGTCTTTTCTTAAAACCAAGTAGCATTGTATTGAACGTATGTACCATAATCGTTTTTGTTTTTAGTCCAATCATCTGTTCCTGAACACTTGGAGTTAGTTTTTTTCCCAGATTTTAGCTATTGTGAATAGTGCTGCAATGAACATAGAAAAACCCATGTTTTATCAGAATATAATTCTTGGGAAGTAAGAAAAAATAATGAGATTTTTCTAGGGAATGTACATAGATAGATAGATGGATAGATGATAGATAGATAGATAGATAGATAGATAGATAGATAGATAGATAGATGATAGTTAGATAGATTTAGTGAGCCTACAGTTTATAGAATACATTGGAAGAGGGAATAATACCACACAAGTAAGCGAAAAGTTGGGATTCTTAGGAAAAAGACATTCTTTTGGAATAAAGTGTCTATAAAACTTTACGCTTGCACATCTCTATTTACTTTCAACAAAAGAGTCTGGAGTACTTGTTTCATATAAATTTCCAGATTATATTTCAGTGATAAGGTTTTTTTCACCCTATATACAGTTATACATCCTTTTACCAATTTTTGTTTTGTTTTGTTTGTGGTGAGTGCTGCACTACTGGGCTCAGGGGCCATTCCTAGTTAGGTCCTTAGTGGCCATTCCTTGATCTCCTTTGGGGTCAGTAAGGTACTGGGAATCAAAGACTTGTACTCACACATGCAAGTCAAGTTCTTCCCACTTAAGTATATGCCTCTCACTTCTTATAATTTTAAGCTGTATCTTTCTCAACATCATCTGGATAATTATCATCCACATAAAGAAATTTCAAATACTTGATTATTTCTTGCATCACTCCAAGGATAAGTAATTTTTCATTTGACTTTCAAGAACTTTTTTGTCATAGACATTGCGCTGAGCAGTATTTTTTTTTCATTTTTTCATTTCATCATCCTGTTATTCGTCGATTGCCTCGAGCAGGCCCCAGTAACATCTCTTTCATCCTAGCCCTGAGATTAAATTCAAGGCTCTTTAGGAGAATGAGACCCATCATTGTTACTGGTATTTGGCATATTTGGTACGCCACAGGGAGTTTGCCAGACTCTGCCCTGTGGGCAGGCTACATTCGATAGCCTGCAAGTTTGTCCAAAGTAGGAATGAGATAATAAGGTGTCATAAAAAGATGTCCTGATAAGATGTCGGGGAGCTGGATTTTATAGTCTCTGAGTCTTGGCCATTGATGGGATTACACGGTGCCAGGGGGCCAGGTGGTGGGTGTGACCCCCGCCTACTGGAATTTGGAGGATCTGGGTGGAAGATGTTCGACTCCAATCCGAGTAGGCTGGGAGATCTCGGCCCTGGAATCCGTGTGGCTTTGTCCCTCTGCCAGTACCTTCATGTGTGCGGAGAGTGGTCTCAGCATGGTGGTGGCTGGTCCTGGAGGTCTTCGCTGCCGGAGCCCTGGTCAGGGCGGGGAGGAAAGCTCAACCCGCTCCCCTCCAGTATAATATTAAAGAAATATGTCTCAAGGATAAATTTAAAGCTAAAGAGAGATTCATTCTTATTTTATTTTGATTGTTTTCATTGTTGTAGTTTAGAGAACAAGTTAACAGTAGCATTATCTTTTATGAAATTAATACACACAGTTACCACACCTCACCACCTCCAAAGTGCCCATGACCCATTGCCATTTCTGGTTCTTATCATCTTTTTCCTCTCCACACTCCCCTATTTGTAATCCTTTCTTTTATAGTACAAAGTCAATGGTTTGTCGTTATTTAATACTAACTAGGAATGGCCCCTGAGCCCAGCTTTCCCATATTTTATTTCTCCACATATTGCATTTGAGTGAGATTATCCTACCTTTGTGCCTCTCCCTTTAATTTATTTTGCTTAACATGATATCCTTCAGTTTCATCTAAATTGCAGGAAACTGGAACATTTTATCTATTAGCATAACTATATAGTATTTCATTGTGCACTTGTACCAACACTACTTTGTCCATTCATCTGTCTTTAGACCTTTGGGTTGTTTCCATGCACAACAAAATTAGTACTAAGTGGTAAGCTTATGGCACAACTTTCATCAAAAATAAGAGAAAGCCCAAATAAATACCCTAACTTCACAGCTTGTGAAACATATTTTTTAAAATGTGAACTCCAAAGTAAATAAAAGGAAGTAAATAATAAGTTAGAAGAGAAATCAATGATATATGGGGCCAGAGCAATAGTACAGTGGGTAGTGTATGCGACCAATCCAGGTCAATTTCCGGCATCCCATATGGTTCCCTGAGCACTGCCAGGAGTAAATTCTGAGTGCAGAGCCAGTGATAACACCTTAAGCATTGGTAGGTATGGCCCCAAACCCAAAATTATCAATGAAATAGAAATCAGGAAAACAAAAGAGTAAATAAAGCCAGGATATGTTGTTTTTAAAGAATAAACAGGTTAACAAACCCTTGACTAGTCTCATGAGGAAAGAAAGAGAGGAAAACACAAATAAACCAAACCAAAGATCAAAAGGCATAAATCATGATATCACAAAAATACAGTTATAAGAGGTAGTTATGTAACTTGGAGAAACTAAAAGAAATGAATAAATTCTTAGAATTGTACATTTTCCCTAGATTGAATCTGGAGGAAGTAGAAAATATGAACAGATCAGTCATAAATAAGAAAATTGAAACAGTAATTTTAGAACATCCCAAGAACAAAAGTCCAGATCCAGGTTCTAACAATTTTTCAAATACATACAACCTATGCAATCAAAACTCTTCCAAAACATCAAAGAAATGGTAAAACCTTTTATGAAGCAAATGTTACCTGATAATAGTCAAAAGCTGGTAGGAATTATCAAAAATGAAAATTACAGATCCATATCCCTAATGAAAATTCATACAAAATTTTGGCCAATGAAATCCAATATATCAAAAAAAGTTCATGAAATGTGATTAAGTGGGATCCATTCCAAGAATGTAGGATTGTTGAAAATACAAAAATCAATTAATGTGATATTACCATATCAATAACAGGAAAGATAAAAATCGTATGATTATATCAATTGGTACAGATAAAACGAACACAATTCAATATTTATTCATAACTTTTTTTAAAAACCTTAACAAAATAGGATAGAAGGAATGTATCTTAAGATAATAATGGTTATTTACAACAAACCAACAGCCAACATCATATTCAATGGCGAAAAAACTTAGTTTCCTCTTAGATCAAACTAAAGCAAAGATGACCACTTTTTTCACAGATTCTGAATATAGTTTTAGAAGTCATTGCCTCAATATAGTTTTTGAAGCAATCAGTCAAAAAAAGAAGTACAGAAGATTCAAATAGTAAAAAAGAAGTTAAACCATTACTATTTTCAGATGTCATAATAAAATATTTACAGAAGGACTTAAATATTCCACTAACAAAATCGCTAGAACCAGTAAGCCAATACACCAAAGTAGCAAGCTAAAAAATCAATCACTCTTGATTTGACACCTGGATGATTTCTTAATCCCTTTCAATAGTAGGTGAAAGGAGAAAAGAGAAGGTACTTAAAATATACCTGAAATATGCAGGATTCCAGAATCCAAAGTTTTGTTTTCCCTGGAGGTGTTTTAGAGTCTTCTCTGGATACAGTAAATATATTTAAAAGATATGCTTGGTTTCAGAGAAAATCTGGTGGAAGTGAGGACACTCTTTGGTAATGTAAAAGAGAGAGGTGTGTGGAGAAGAAAAGTTAAGGGACAGTTTGATCTGGCCTCAGGAGGAGCTTGCAATGCTTGTTTCTACATAAGCCCATTGCCTAAACCCATTCTCGTGACACAAAATGATTCCTTCATGACTCTGGTCTTCAGACACACAGGTGTGATCCAATTTTGACCCCAAACATCATTTCCCAGTATCACTCTTCAAAATGTTTTCTGGCCCCAGGGTTTGAACCGGCTGTCAAATATTTGTTCTTACAAGAAGAACACATAGGCTTGTTTTCTTCATAGTGAGCTGTGTGTAGATCCTGTGTCACATTCACTGTAGAAAAAGAAAATTCACTCATATTAATCAATTAAGTTATTAAAGTGTTAATTTAATATTATTGCTATTTAGTCAAATGCTACAGTGACATAAAAAACTTTAAAAGTGTCTAGGATCCATAAGTAGTCCTTGTATCAAAAGTGATAAATCCTTCATTGTTTGTCATAACAGGAGCTACCAATAAGCAAATGAACATATTTTTAATGATTTCACTGAAAAATTCACACCAAGTATCAGCTTTTTTCCTAAAAACCAGGGTAGCTATGCAATAAACATTTTTTTAAATTTTCTGCATTAAATATATCACTTAGGGATATATACTAGAAAACCAAATTCCCTTCTCTTACAGCCCAGAGAGATAACAGAGATAGCATGCATACATATAATTTCTTCTAATGCCACATTAAACTCTGATACTGCATTTTTACATGAGAAAGTCATGGACTCTAATGTTTGGTTAATTGTTGAATATTACTGAGTATCTTGCAAATGTGACTTCTGAAAAAAAAAGGTGGAATCAGTGTGCAACAATATTTTCAGCACAAAGTGCTCCATATTAGTTTACCTTTTTGATTGCTCCTTATCAAGATCAAGGCTCCTAAAGCCGAAATTAATCCAATCAGCAATATGCAACACATAATAATCATTCTTGAATCTGAAATAAACCAAAAACTCCCTTAAATCGTGAAATAAGGAAAATTTCAAGATCATCTTTTTCACCTTAGCAGCAATTGGACTGAAGATAAGGGTGAATCAAGCCTCTCCATGAGGAAATTGTCTATTCCTCCCTCTCTGCAGACGCAGAGTCACTATAATATCATGCTAGCTCATTGCTAGCTCTTCTCAAAAACACACACAGATTCAGACATATAAAATTCCTCCCTTATCTTCCAATTATATAATAACTGGAATAATATCTTCGGGAAAATGATAAAATGACACCAACCAGGAAAAGAAAAGTTTGTCATTTTCTCCTCACTGAGAAGTGGGTTGCTTATGGAGCAGGTGACATTCACGACAGAGCTGTTTGTGATCAATAAGTGTGTCTCCACTTGGAATAGCCCATGACTTCCTTCAGTCAGAATCTCTGAAAATGATGGAATTGTCTTTCCTTCCACATCCTTCCACTGCACAAGGGGCTGTGGGAACCATCCGTCTGAAGTACACATCAGCTGTACTTCTCCATCCTTCACTTTCTCCATGGTGATCACTGGAGATGAACCCATGCCTGGAAAATATAGTCAAGAAACGAAACATAAATTCTCTGAGTTTATATGGCCAGTGACTTCAAAAAGAGGGAAGAGGAAGTTTCAGGAGTTTGGAGGAGAAAGCAAAGTTTATTGAGGTATTCAATCCCACTTAAATACAAAACTAAGTGAGTACATAGAGATAGCACATCAGGTAAGCAGCTTGCCTTGTACACAGGACTCCCAGGTTCTATCCCCAACAAACCCCCAAGCAGTGAAGAGTGATCCCTGAGCACAGAGACAGGAGTAAACTATGAGCATAGCTAGGTGTAGCCCAAAAACTTAAAACAAAAAGAGAGGGAGAGAGAGAGAGAGAGAAGACTGACTGGAACAGTTTCCTGTTTTGTTTGCCTATTTTATATTAATTTTTATATTCATAAAATCAAAATAACAGGGTATGAATAACATGGTCAAGATAAAAGGAATAAATAGAAGAATAATCTCAGAGATCAAGTTATTTTTGTTTTTTGTTTTGGAGCTAATCCTAGCAGTGCTCAAAATCAGGAGTATGCTTCAGGAAAGGGATCACTCTTGGTAGGGCTATAGAGACTATATAGGGAGTCTGGGATTAAAGCCAGATCAGTCACATGGAAAGCAAGTGCCCTATGTAGTGTACTATCTTTCTGACCCATGAGATTAGATCTTATTAATATACATTCTAATTGCAGAAAACATTGGATCAAATTTAACTTCACAACACTGGGTATTTTCTACTGTGGGTGTTTTTTTCATTTTTATTATCTTATATACAAAGTTAATTTTTTAAAAAGTAGATTGTTCAACATTGGTTTAGGATATCAGTGGCATTTGCTACCCTTGGAAAATTAGCTTTCAGAAATACAGGCAGTGGGAAATTTCTGAGGCAGGGAGAATTTTTTTTTATTCTCCATACTGTCAATACTGCCAATATGTGTGGTTTTTATCAGTTGTTGGATACAATTAGTCCTCAAATCATTACACTTCCTGTTAACTATATATGTTTCCCCAAATTTTAATAATTCTGGAACAAAAAAGTCATTATAAAGCTATGAAGTCTCAAATTTACTACATGCATATAGTCAAACTGGGAAGGGTACATTGTCAAATCAAACTGGGAAGGCTACATTTTCAAGACTCAATTAAATCTTATCCTTTTGAGTGTGTGGTTTGAAGAACATATGAAAAATGTTACATGTTGAATGGGTCAGTATCAAGTGAGTAAATAAACAGTGAAAAATATTTCATGATCCAGGGAAATTTTTCAGAAACCGTATGTTATTAAGTAAGTAACAAGAGAACATTTTATCTGGAGACTTTACCTACTATCTTCAAATTCAATCTGGCCTCCTGGTAGACGCCATCTTTTTCAAAAAGACACTGGTACTGTCCATCATCTGAAGTTCTGGCATTGTGTATCTGCAGAGTTACTGCTCCCTCGTTGATGGAATCACTCACCAGTGTAGTTCTCCCTCGGTATTCTTCCATCTGCTCTCCGGCCACGTGATCCCCATTCATGTACACGTAAACAGCAGGATAGTGATGGTCTTTGACCCACCTCACCTCCATGTCCTGTGCACTAACCTTAGGGGACAAGGAGCAGGTCAAGTCTACGTCTTCCCCATATCTTACAAGGATGGGCTGAGAAGGTCCAATCACTTTCAAGGAAGCTAGTAAATACAACGTGACAAAAGAGAAGACTTAAAATGGAGCAAACAAGGTCAACAGCAAAAATACCTCCAGAGGGAATTAGAATCCAAGGGACTATCAGGGATATTTATGAGACTCAAGGTCATCCTTTGGAGCAGTGGAAGTTTATTAAATGTACACTTCACCTTACCAAAATTTTATTCAGTTAGGAGCCCAGTAAAAAAACTTTTGTCAATGAAGTTTGTTGTGTTAATAAAATTAACACTTAAAAAAAGAGTTCACCCCAAAAGAGAAGGGCTGTGAAATAATATAGCAGATGAGGCATTTGTCTTAAATGCAGTTGACTAGGCTTTAACCTCCAGCACCCCATAGGGTGAATGAGAACTGCCAGGAGTGGTCCCTGGCAGAGCCAGGACTAAACCCTGGTCACCACTGGGTGCAGGCCCAAACAAAAACAAAAATCTCACTGTCAAAAAAAAAAGTTTTGTATTCAAATACAAAGTGTATAGATAATCCTGCCATGACTCGTTGCATGTGAGACAAGTGATGAGGACATAGAAATCACTGCAGGCTCTTGATAATGGGAAAGGAATGAAAATGTGTTTCTGGTGAACTTTTAGTTATGAAATGTCAAGAAATTTTCCTGAAATTTATTCCCATAGTCCCTTATAAATCAGACTCAGCCATTATACTTCAGTATCCCATATATATCTGGGATAGATGTTGGGAAAGACAGGTAAGGAGAAGTTGCTAAAATCTCAGGGCTGAGACAAATGGAGATGTTACTGGCACCCGCTTGAGTAAATCGAACAATGGGATGACAGTGATACAGTGATATGTGTGTGTATTATGTGTATGTGTGTATTCACCTTGTTCAATGTCATCACATTATGGACAATCCTCACGAAATGTCCACAAATCATGCCATGTTCAGAACATAGCCAAAGTCCACCTACACGCTCTCCAAATCACCCAGATGACATCTTGTTCTAGAGCCCAATGGATAGACAGAGAAGAGGCTTTATCAGCCATGTCAATAAAGCTCTGCATACAAACATACACACACACACACACACACACACAAACAAACACACTTGGCGAAAATATAACCAAGCACAATATATATGATGAAAGGGAAACTAACTGAAGGCTCACACAGATGGGCCACATTCATGCATTTAACTAAAAATGGTGCTGTGTAACCACTGAAGGCAGATAGAGAGTGGGTCTGGCAATGTGTACTAGGAAAAACACTGTCTGAAAACTAAAGCAAAGACCTGAAAACCTTTGAGGAGCCAGGGAAATAGTTGAGATGCAGACTTCAGACCCAGAGCATGACTGTATACCCTGGGAGAAGAGGCTCCACTACTGGAATAAGAATGTACCAAGACCAAAGATAAGCAGAGCTACAAACTCTGTCCATTGACAACCACCCAAGCAACAGACTTTGGGGGATAGTTTGGGAAAACTGCAGTATATAAACTGTGCTGTCATTTACCCTCATTTCTGCTTGAAATCTGCACTTTCTTACACTAAGGTACATTTGTCAATATCTGCCAGAGATACGTACTGTTTTGTATGACATGTATTGTCCATCTTGGAAATCACTGAAGCTACACTTGGGATGTAAACTTTGCTTTTTTTCCAATCTGGAGTGGTCATTCTCTTGTTTCTCTCTCTGTCTCTCTCTCTCTGTCTCTCTCTCTGTCTCTCTCTCTCTCTGTCTCTCTCTCTGTCTCTCTCTCTGTCTCTCTCTCTCTCTGTCTCTCTCTCTCTCTGTATTTCCTTATTTCCCAAATAAGTTGATCTTATTTTACTATCTGTCACCTCCTGAAATTATTTTCTGTGAGGGAACACCTGGAAAAGACTGGATAAGATTCAGGACTAATTACCTAAAAAAAAGAGCACTTCCTCATCCAGCCTGAGTTCCAAAGCTTCCTGAGAAATGATTCCTGAGGTGGCAGGAATCTTTCCTATGCCAGGCCAAAATGTTACTTATGGGACTGGTGAGTCATAAGGTCAGCTCATAGCAGCTTCAACTTTCCCCAGTTCCTAACTTACCCAGGCACTTCCCTGGGTGACAGAGGTGGGTAGAGAGAGATGTAATAGATTCTCCAGACTCCCATCTCTCTCTTACTCACTTCACAGAAGCCACCACAACAGAACACAACCTGGTGGATAGAGCCAGAAAGCTCCTGAAAAAGTCTTTTAATGTTGTTAGAGCTAGAGAAACTGCTGTGCACTCAGGTGACATTTGTCATGCTATTAACATGTCAAAGACAATAAGACCTAAGTACTTAGGAAAGTGATATGTGATATTTAGAATAACTGGAAGATGGAATGTAATGGTTTAAGGTGTGTGTGTGTGTGTGTGTGTGTGTGTGTGTGTGTGTGTGTAGGGGGAAGAATGCCCAGATCACCCTTGGACCCAAAATAGAGGTAGAAGGAAAGAAATATAGGGGAAGGGAAGGGGAGAAGAGACAGATGAGAAGCAATGGGAAGGGGGGGGGGGGGTTGCGGCAAGGCAGGTCAAGTTGATTCAGGTACATTAGTGGTGTTAAGGAATAATAGAGCTGAGTATCCAAACCACAGAGTCAACAACAATGAAATCATGAGACTCAATTTAACAACAGAACTTTAAAAGTGCCAGGTCAAGATGGAAGCTAGGGCAGGTGATAAGGGGAGGGGGCAGCTGGTAGGATATTTGATATAAGAGGAAATCTGAGAACATTGGTAGAGGGAAATTGACACTAGAGGTGGGATTGGAGGATTAACACTGGAACACTCTATCTCTAAAACTCAACTAGGAATAACTTTGTAAATCATGGTGCTTTAATAAAATTTAAAAAGAAATTTTTTAAAATTAACAAAAAGAAAAGGAAAGAATGGAACAGAACAATAACAAATGAAAAGGAAAGAAAGAAAAAGGAATAAAAAAAAAGGAAGAGAAGGGGAGGAGAGGGGAAGAGAGGGAGGGGAAGGGAAAGAAGGGGAAATGGAAGGGGGGATGGGGAAGTGGGGAGGGGACAGAAGAGGAACAGGGGGGGAGGAGGGACAAGAGGGAGGAGACAGGAGAGGGAAGGGAGGAGGGGAAAGGGCAGGAGAGAGAAAAATAAAGCACTAGACTCCTGAGATGCCATGCTTAAGCACCTTGCTAAAGCACTTATTTCACTTTAGTACCTTTCTCTATCTATTTAAGAGTTACTTTCTTAATTCTTGTCTGGTTTCCTCTTCATTTTACTGACTTTGCCACCAACTGCCTATTATCAACAACTTTTGGAGGACAAAAAGAGGGCAAATTCCCAACAATCAGATTATTTAAGAATATTATAAGGTTAAAGATTAAGGGGTGGGGGTTGAAAAACAGGAATCAAATATTTCTGCTGTGGAAAATGGAGACTTTTCTCTGATGATTTTCCTAGATTAAATATGTATCACATTTTAAATAGCATCAGTTTCTGTCCTGCCAACTTTACTTTGTTTAAATTGAACATCAACATTTTTTGTTAAGGATAAGAATGACTTCATATTATGTTAAGATCATTTTTAGTAGAAATGGAGGCATGAAATATGTACATCCCCTGGATGGAAGTCAATTACCAAAGATAAATATCATCATTGTCTAATTGTGTATTTTTCTAACTATATAAAGAGAAATAATACTCTATGAACTTCTCTAGAGTGGAAACACTGCCAACACAATTCTCATTTTAAAATACTCCTTTGCACCTAGGCAAGTTCAACTTCACAGTTTTTTCTAAGTTTTTGCCATAGTCTTTCACATTTACCTAAAGTAATATGTACTTGTGAAATACATACATCTGAAATCAGATATATTTCATACATATCTGTGAAGATAAAGTACAAGTCAAAAAATAAACTAGGCATTAATTTGCTGTGATTTCCTCTCCTTTCATGTTGCAGTAAACTTCTCAATAAAACTTGGTGTTTCCTCATGTCCACTATATCCGTGGTACACGTAAGACCTCAAACTGGATTATCTTGGCAGACACAGATTAATTAAGATGTAAGATTCATTTTAATAGGGACCTAGGAAAGCAAAATACAGCATTGAGATTCAATTAATTAGGCATATAATGCAGACATGAAAGTCCTGTTTCTCCAGAGTTCAACTGAAAATAAAGTTTAAGAAGATTCTTATAAGGCCGCCAGAATAAAACCTGGTATAGAATTGATAGTTTTAAGTAGTCATTATTTTTATGAACCAATAAACTGATTTTTTGGAATGAAAACTGGGACTGCAGTCTCTGGGCTTCTGCTTGTCAGCATCTCCTTGGTGTGGCCCTACCTCTGAGCTTTAATCCACAAAGATAAAACTGAGACGTCAGTGAGATTCCCGGTCTCATAAACTTACAGCACACCCTCCAAGCTTCTGAGAGCACAGTTATCCAGTCCTGACCTGACAGGGACCCAAGGGAAGTGTTATCGTTTCGTCTTGCTTGATGATAGTCCCAGAATATCAGCACAACTTGGAAATTGCATGATAGAATATTGTGTGTTGAGTCTCTAGTAGGCCCGTCACATTGGTTCAGATACATCTGAGGTATGACCTCACTAAATTCTTCTTGAGGAAGAGAGGTATCAAACTGTCCAAAACAGACTCCATTATGTGATATATAGCAAATTCTGCAAAGGTTCTATCCAGTCAGGAGCAGATGCAGCCCCAGGTTGTAAGGCTCACAATTGTAAAGCTCTCCTCAGACTGTAGAGAACATGTGATATTCCTGAAGACCTTCCCTTTATACACATGGTTCAAAGTATCTCACTATACCCTTGGAGAGAAAGGGGTGTGTTTGTCACACTTACTTTTCTCAAACGCTCCTACATGAATGAAAAATACTCTTATGTCCACCTAACATGCATAAGAGCATGCACACAACAGACGCACACAACACACAGACACACACAAAGACACACATTTCTTTAACAGATAACTTGAGGGACAGTAAGGTAGTGTGACATCTGGAAAAAATGATACAGGTTTCTGGATAGATGTCATTGAACAGTTTGTTTATTATGAGCAAAAGGTCAAAGAAAGGAGGAAGAAGGTAAAGAAATAAAGGAGGACGTGAATAAGAATAAAATATCAGATGATTATTTTAAGCCCCTCAGCTGCAGTAAATAAGTAATCTTTCATATCTGAAAAAGTAAGAGGCTCATCCCAATTGTAAGGCATTTAGGCCTTGTGAGGTTAAAAAAAAAAAAAACACGAGACCAAGAACTGTGGGTGGTGATGTCCATTTCTCAATGATAATATATCCTCACCTGAAAAATGTCTTTAAAGAACCCCAGAGCCTAGCAGCTGTTCTGTGCCATCCTACACACTCCAAAGGCATCTTCCTGTGAAATAGGAGAGATGATGTCTCTGATACTTTATAGGCACCCACTGAAGCTCACTGGGATCCCAAGAACACAGGAGTGACAGGTTACAGAGTGCCAAGGACCATGGAGGAGGTTTTGGAGGTTTATGTGCTCTTGTTCCTGTCTAGTAGTAATTGAATTCAAGAAATGCATAACTCATCTTCTGTTGTGAATCACAAACTGCATATGTAACTCCAGTTGGTATTGTCCATGGAGCACTTCCTCTATCTGGGAGGCAGAGACTCATCTACAATGGTTTGTGGCACCATATTCACTTACCGAGCTCTGTCTGGAGTTTTTCTGGAAATTAAAAAATAATAAATAAATAAATAAATAAGCATTTTATAGATTTTTGTCTTAAGGAAAAAAGAATAGATATTTTAGAAAGATAAAACCAAGTTTTACATTTTTACTGCAATGTTCAATTCATAAAAAAGAAACAAGGAAGAAACATATTGATTCATTCCAAGGACCACACAGCAATCTAGTTAGAGCTCCTTTTCTCTGAACAACTAAAAGCTCAGTGATTATGATTATATTTACCATTTCTACAAAGTTATCAAAATCATACATTCTCTTGGGGGTGGAGAGATAGAACAGGGTATAAGGTGCTTGCATTGCATGTGGCTGATCCCTTTTCTATCCTTGGCCCCACATAGGGTCCCTGAGAATTTTCAATATTGATTCCGAAGCTCAAACCTAGGAGTTAACCCTAAGCACCATCAGATGTGGCCAAACCACTCCAATCCCCTAAAATAATAATTCTATTTTCATAAATTTGCAAAAAGTATAAAATATGTGGATACTTATATGCATTAGTCACCTATAATTCCAATCAGAGTAAGTATATTATTGTAATTGGGATGTAAATACATATGCATAAACACATGAAAATTTGCTCATTTGAGGGCAGGAGAGATAGTAAAAATGGGAGGCATTTACATTGTACACAACCAACCAGGGTTTAATCCCCATCACTCCATATGGTTCCCCAGTCCCACCAAGAGTGATCCCTGAATGCAGAGCCAGGAGTAAGTCCTGAGTACTGCTAAATGTGGCCCCAAAACATGAAAAGCAAATAAACCACAAATAACACTGAATTTGAATTTGCTCATATATTAACTTATTATAAAAAACTATTAAACACATCCGTGTGCCTAATATTGAGAGAATGTGAGTGCAGTTATTGAGAGAGCATCAAATTGTGAATGCAGTCATGAACTATATAAAGTAAAAAATCTTCATGTAATTGGAAATATCACTGTCACTGTCACTGTCCTCCTGTTGTTCATCGATTTGCTCGAGCAGGCCCAGTAACATTGTGAGACTTGTTACTGTGTTTGGCATATAAAAAACATCATGGGTAGCTTGCCAGGCTTTGTCATGCTCTCAGTAGCTTGCCAGGCTCTCTGAGAGGGGAGGAGGAATCGAACTCGGGTTGACCATGTTGGCCGCTTGCAAGGCAAATGCCCTACCCACTGTGCTAAATTGGAAATATAAATTATAGATATATAGATATGCAAATACAAATTATAACTATATAGATGTGTAAATACAAGGATAGATGGATGGATAATGGATGGAAAGATGGATAAACATATAAAATCTTTATCGTTGAATAGAGCATCATGCAGATGTTGCTTTTCAACTAAATCAGCACTACAATTAAAGGTAATGTAAGTAACACACATAAAACTCCACTTTGTATTAGGTTTTTGGGGTTGTTGATTTTATTATACTTATAAATTAAAGTATTGTGATGTAAATTTTCACCTCTGATCATATTCATATATGATATGTTTCTAAGAAAATTTGGAATGATACATCTTAGAAAAGCATCTTGGTTGCAACATTATAATTTAATTTTCTTTTCAATATGATGTATACTTGTGGGTGAAGAAAAGCAATGTAGAATGGAAAGGCAAAGCATTACAGCACCTAAAGTGCCAATAATATATTCAAAATATAGTTAAAATATAGTAGCATGTATGATTATAACTTTTATATAGCTTAGAACATATCACTAAATAATAGGGTGGTTTAATTTTTTTTAATGGTACTGTGAAACAGTCTCTGTAATTTTTATATGAATCTGAGCCTCTTTGTGTGAGAGGAACAGCACTGACCTGGAATGGAGATGGTCACGTCCTTCTGCTCACTGAGGACATGGTTGTGGATGAAGCAGGACACAGTCTCTGGACAAGCGTTCCTGACCACATGAGTGGCTTCCACATAAAACAGGCCATCTTCCTCTTGGATGATCCACTCAGAGAAAGTCAGCAACTTCTCTCCAGTGATAGCTTCCCAATAAATCCTGGGCTCTGGGAACCAGCCTTTTGCAGTGCACAGAAGCTGGACTTCACTTTCCATAGATCCTGCTATGTGAATGCTGGGGGCAGAGCCCAGATCTGAGAATGAAAAGCATATCTCCTGAGACCTAGAGCTCACAGAGACACTAATCACAGACTTAGATTCCAGTGACACAGCTTACAGGGAGACAGCAGGATTTCAGGGGTCTGAGTATAAAAGTTGTCCAAAGGTTTTTTCCCCTTAAGTTTCAGGATCCTACACACATTATTAGTTCTGTCAAGTGGGTCTTTAGAGTTTGGCATCTAATCAATATTTTTCTTCAGATGAAGAGAGAATAAGAGATGGAACACAGTAACATTTTATGTGTCTAGTGCTGCAAAGGAATATGTGTTGTATTGTAATGGATTCATGAACTCCTCTGATGTTTTCATCATAATCATATTTAAAATTCCATGCAGCCATTCAGTGAGAAACCCATTCACAAGAAATCCTAGAACCTCTTTCCTCATTCAACACAACTCTCAACACAAAACTAAATGGTCTGTGATTGATTTTCTTTTCTTTTTTTACGCCTTTTGGGTCACACACAGCGATGCACAGGGGTTACTCCTGGCTTTGCACTCAGGAATTACTCCTGGCAGTGCTCGGGGGACCATATGGAATGCTGGGAATTGAACTCGGGTCAGTCATATGCAAGGATAATACTCTACCCGCTGTACTATCGCTTCAGCTCCAGTCTGTGATTTTCATAGATGAAAATTTTGCCCCTAAGTCTTATTGGGGGAGAGAGAGATTCACTCACTTCACATAAAGCAGAGGTTCTCAAAATTATTCCACAAACTGCCACCAGGAAAAAAAAATTCTTTAACAGCCAGAGCTATAGTATCGTGGGTAGGGCACCTTACACACTGCCAACCAGGGTTCAGTCTCTGATATCCCATATGTTCCCTCAAACTTGTCTGAAATGATCCATGAGTAAAGCCAAAAGTAAACCCTGAGCACAGAAAACTCTAACTTCTTTAATAGAACAAACAGAAAGCAGTGCTCCATTTGCATCAAAGATTTCTACCCCCGCCCCCAGTGTCTTCCCAGCCTCCCCTCCTTGCCCCCCGCCCCACACGCAGTGAGATGCTCACCCACTTTGGTGAAGACTGACCTAGAATATTAAAAAATGTTCTGCCTATTTTCAGATATCCTTAATTTTAAAAGTGTCCTCCCCACTCCATTATCTCCAAACTATGGGAAACCTTTCACCCATCTTTAATTATCCTGAACATAATAATAGTCGTAGTCATGGATGTTAAGGAAAGAAGTATTAAGAAACAGACTCATTGGGGGAAAAATAAGAGTATTTTCCAAGTAAAATATCATCTCCAGAAAGCTTTTACTGTGATAAATTACATGGAACTAACTGATTTTCTCTTTGGTATGGGGAAAAGTTAGTCCTGCCAGAGAATCATATAAGGCTTTACTTTTAAGATAATTTTTTTTCATAAAACAGATTCTTTCTGCAGCCATTATTTCTCCCCATCTCTCTTCTATTTGGATAATACAAAAACATTCAGAGTCTTGCCAGGCACCATGGATTTATCCCCAAAGCATCTGTGAACTCCCACTTTGTTGAACAATGGTTATCTTCATAAAAACTCAGTGCTCCTTACCCCTCTAATCCCATCACTAGTTTTCTAACTTCAGGAGTTATATGAAGAAACAGAGTGTTAACATCTCAGTCACTGCAATGGTTGATATTGGATAGAGAATAGCAGGGCCTATTAATACACAGATACCAGGCAGTTCTATTGATATACAGATACCGGGCGCTTAGCTAAGTTCACTGACTGAGCAATTGTTTCTCCTTGCATACTCATTTTATTTTCATGGCAAATAGAATTAACCATGTAAGCTAAATTTGACAAAAGTGTTTAGAACTGAGTTTTCTTTGAAGAATCACTTGCTTTCACATGAATCAGTATAGAGAACTGGATATTAAGAACGGCCTTCAGAGTTAAAGAGGAATTCTTCAACAGAAAAACACTGTTCACATGTATACCCCTTCCTTCAATAATCCGTTTTTCTGGGACCAGAGCAATAGAACAGTAGGTAGGGCGTTTGCCTTGCAAGCAGCCAACTTGGGTTCAATCCTTGGCATCTCATAAGGTCCCCTGAGCACTGCCAAGAGTGATTCCTGAGTGCAGTGCCAGGAGTAACCCCTGAACATTACCAGATGTGACCCAAAAAGAAATATAAAAACAATAATAATAATCCATCTTTCCCCCAGATACTCACTTGCTACTTTGAGATACAAGCTAGTTTCTACATAGTAGTCCCCCTCTTGGAAACGACACCAATATTGTCCATCATCAGATGTCTGGATATTATGTATCTTCAGCATCACCTGACCCTCAGCAATGTTATCGTCTATCCACTCTACCCGGCCTCTGTACTCCTCCAGCTGCTTCTCTGTCACCTCAGATCCATCCAGAAGTGTAAATACAGGTGTGCTGGGATCCATGCGGTACCATGTCACCTTTGTGGGCATCACAGTCTTCTTGGGGAGAAGCTGGCAGGTTAGTAAAGCATCTTCCCCAACCATGGCCACGATAGGAGAAGTTCCTATCACTCTAAAGTCATCTACAAAACAGTGGAAAGAAGGAAGGAAAAGCCATAAAATTAATGCACTTGCTTTGGAATGTCCAAATATCAATAGTGGGGGCTGGAGCGATAGCACAGCGGGTAGGACATTTGCCTTGCACACAGGCAACCCAGGTTCGAAACCCAGCATCCAGTATGGTCCCCTGAGCACTGCCAGGAGTAATTCCTGAGTGTAGAGCCAGGAATAACCCCTGTGCATAACCGGGGGTGACCCAAAAAGCAAAATAAATAAATAAATAAATAATAAAACAACCAAATATCAATGGTGTAAGTTTCATTTTCAGTAGAAAAAACCAATATTATGATTTTTACATTATTTCCCTGAAATATTACAGGGTATATTTTTTTAACATTTATTACCCTTGCTTATTACCTGGCAATAACCAAATGTGAAATATTACAGGGCAATATCCAGATGGGTAATATAGTATAATATTGCTATTATTTCAGTATTAAATACTGAAAATAATCTGAAGACATAAAAGCAGTCACTGTTGCATCTGTAACTTGCTTACATGATTTAGGGAACAAAATCATTAATTACTTTGAGACTGTGAGATTTTAAATATCAATATATTTATCTTTAAAATACTCAAGCCACTATGACAGGGCCATTTTTGTTCTCATAAGTTAATTTGCAAATTTATTTGGGAGGATTTCTTCTGGATGGTGGTCACCCCAGACAGTGTAGAGGTGATCCCTGGTTGGGACATTCTCATGGCCATACTCAGTGGACCATTTTGTAGTACAGAGGATCAAACCATGGTATCTTGCATGCAAAGTCTGCTCTCAGTCCATTGAGCTAAACATACACCCAAAATGAAATTTTTCAATTGGGTGTTTTTTTTCTTTTTTGCTTTTTGGGTCACACCTGGCAATGCATAGTGGTTACTCCTGGTTTATGCACTCAGGAATTACTCCTGCCGGTGCTCAGGGGACCATACTGGGAATCAAACCCGGGTTGGTTGCAAGATAAATGCCCTACATGCTTTGCTATTGCTCCAGCCCCTCAATTTGGTTCTTTATCAATTATCAATTTAATTCATATTTTATGGTTAGTAATTTTGCTTTATATTGTTAGTGACTAATATAGTTGATAACAACATTTCCTTAAATTGGGATAATAAATTTAGTTGATTTACATGATTTTATAAGTCCTCTATCCTAAGCAATAAATTTTTGCTATTTATTTATTTATTTAATTGTAATTCTTCACTGTCACTGTCCTCCCGTTGTTCATCGATTTGCTCGATTGGGCACCAATAACGTCTCCATTGTGAAACTTGTTGTTATTGTGTTTGGCATATCAAATATGTCATGGATAGCTTGCCAGGCTTTGCCGTGCAGGCAAGATACTCTCAGTAGCTTGCTGGGCTCTCCGAGAGGGGTGGAGGAATCGAACTCGGGTCGGCCATGTTGGCTGGGTGCAAGGCAAACGCCCTACCTGCTGCTCTATTGCTCCAGCAGTTCTTTTATCTACATCAACAAAACTCCAGTTGCAGAGGTTAGTACAAGATGTTTTGTGAGGATTAAGGTCAACAATTTGACTAGAGTCTGAATTTACCAACAATTTTTTTTTTTTTTTTGCTTTTTGGGACACACCCGGCAATGCACAGGGGTTACTCCTGGCTCTGCAGTCAGAAATTACTCCTGGTGGTGCTCAGGGAACCATATGGGATGCTGGGAATAGAACCCGGGTTGGCTGCATGCAAAGCAAATGCCCTACCTGCTGTGCTATTGCTCTAGCCCCTGCCAACAAAATTTTAAGTCATGTTTGAACTCTTCATTTTCACCTGCAAATTATAGAGATAATCAATAACCCTGTATGTCACTAGGTTTAATAATTTCATAGATCATAGTTCTTAAACTCCCATCCATCAACCTGGGCTGGTCAGCAAGAATAGAAAGACTGAAAATCAATAGTTTGCCACAGTAGTTAAAACTGTTGGTTGTGGACTGATGTGCAGACAGATACCTATCTTCAGGTGTAAAAAGGTTGACAATTACTGATGTATATGACATCACTCTTAATCCAACACATCTCAGGCCATTTGCACTTTTCCTGTGTAAATTAAGTCCTTCAAAGAAGAACATGACCTTGCTTACTTTCTAATTAATATAAAATCAAAGCTCTTCAAAGGATCACTATAGAATTTTCTTTAGGACTCTAGGGTCACACATGGACACTAACTTTACATAAATTCTTTTCAAATTGTTGTATTTTGACTTACTTTATTCGGCTATTGAGATTGCCAGTTCATTTCTTACAAGTCACCTTTAGCTTATTTCAAAGGTTTTTTTTTATACTGTTCAGTTTGAGCTAAGAAATTGTCACTTTTCTGCCCACAAAGAGCGCTCACAGGGAAACAGAAGGACAGAGAACTTTAACATGATTGGGATCATTCTAGGGATTCTCATGGCAATCTCATCTAAACCTAACCCTGTGCTATCTTATCAGGCAGAAGTATATTGTTGTTTCAAGCTGCAGGGTTGCTTCCAGACCCTGCACAACACTGTCTCATTTGGTCCCCCCTACCTAGCCCCAGTGGGGTAGGGTGAGTTCCACCACCTGCCCCAACAGAGCCCCAGCAGCCCAAAACCTCCAGAACCCAAACACCAGTATACTCAGGGCCAATCTCCACAGAGAGATAAGAATGAATCTGCTGAAAAACTCAGGTATGCAGCTTTTGTGACCAAAATCTCAAGACTTTCACTGAGTCAGGAATGGATGAGCTTCCCCCAACTCCCTGTTCTTCTGGGAGCCTGGCAGTCACACCCATGGGCTGCCTCTGATACCAGATAAGCTCAATACTGGCCATGATCCAGAGACTCACAAATAAATCTTGGAAGAGATCAATAAGCTGCAGAGATGCCTCCAGACCCCAAAGTCAATATCCAGTTAAAAATTTAACTCCAGCGGTATCACCTTATTTAAAATTTTAGAATTTCTGAAGTGACATCTTATAGTCTATACCACTGTTGTACCAGGAGTAGCACATCACATTTGATAGTGTGTAAAGTAGAATGCAACCGATATCAATTTTAAAAAAAGATATATATAAGGATATGGATATATATCTGTATATATAAACATATAAACACAAGGCTCAACCTGTAACAACATATTATTAATTTCTTATACAAAGGCTTTTGGCTCCAGGTTGAAATACAATAATCTTCGCACACTTTTCTCTAAGGAAACTTTTTTGGATCATTTTAGTGAATTATTCATAATAAACAATCACGGTCATGGTCCTCCCGTTGTTCATCAATTTGCTCGAGCGGGCCCAGTAACGTCTCCATCGTGAGACTTGTTAAGCTGTAGGGCATTTGCCTTACAAGCAGCCAACATGGCCGACCCGAGTTCGATTCCTCCACCCCTCTTGGAGAGCCCGGCAAGCTACTGAGAGTATCTTGCCCGCACAGCAGAGCCTGGCAAGCTACCCTTGATGTATTCGATATGCCAAACACAGTAACAAGTAATAAACAATACAAAATAAATTATTTAGGACCTGCTTTGGGGGCAGAATTGGGTGAGAAAATTCAAAATAAAGGTGGTGGGAATAATGGTGGTGGGATTGGTGTTGGAATATTAAGTATAATAAATTATTGTGAATAAATTTATAAAAATGAAATAAAATTAATTTTTTCAAAGTATATTGCTATTCTTACTATAAAGATGTGGTAACCTAAGAAACAGATACTCAAGTAATTCTTCAAAGGTAATACAGAAGCCCTTCCTGGAACACAGACACCTTGACCCTTGGATTCCCCATTTTTCCAATTGTTCTAGCAATTTTGATTTAGAACTCTGCATATAAACTCTATCTCTGGCACATCAGGTTCAGAAAAGGAAAGAGAGGCATCCTACCTGAATACTTCATGCTGAGCAGCACAAATAATAAGGAGGCAACTGCACCACACAGGCTGTATCCTGGAATGTTCGCCATTCCTCTTGAACACAAGAGAAAATATGATGACCAAAATGATGGTGTAATGCATCATGAACTCTGTGTTTCCAAAGATTATGTAGTCACACAAAGAATCAACTTCAACTTCTGAAAACTCAAAGAGATGGGCTGTGTTGTATTTAAACAACTTTTTTACCTTAAAGGAAAACTTCTGATTGAAATGGAAAGCTGGACTATACTTAAGTCCATTAGAAGTTAAAAAAAAAGTAGAGAGTATAAATATGGAAAATAAAATGATCACTCATCTTCCAGTCCCTCTCATCAAGTTCTCTATCACCACTAGTTCCAGGGTTTAAAGGAACAAGCAGGAAGGCCCAGAATCCTAATGCATTTTGTAAGCCAAAACTTGTGCATTGGGAGAAAGCAGGGGTATTGTCTGCTTTGGAAATTGAAAGATGCTAATGATGGAAATGATGCTAAAGAAGCTTATCAGCAAGAAAATTACCCTAACTGGTCTTTCAACATCATTTCAACACTTAGAACAAATGAGAAATTAACTGAGAATAAACAGGAATAAATTAGGAATCAATACACTTAGGAATAAATTTTAAAAAGTCAAATTGGTAGATGGATAAACCCAACACCTTTACGATACTAGTCGAGATAAGCAAACCAAAATATTACACAGCTAAAAAGTTTAAAAGTTACCAGAAGAAAAAAAGAGAATGCTGTTTTTTTGTTTGGGAAGTAAAAAGTCAGAGTAAGTAAAAGGAGTATCAGATATTCTACATTATACATTAAAGTACCTTATTAGAAGAAAAACTAGTTTCAATCAACCACTCAAAGTACAAAACTTGCTAAGACGTGATGAAAAATTGGTTACTGCTTCCTTTTCCACAGAAACTAAGACCATAACAAAATTTATTCTCTAAGACCAATTAATTAGTAATTGCCATAAAGGAAGAGGAAGGGGAATGGACAAATCATGACTAAGGGGCTAACCATATGGTCAAGGACAGAACTAGACTTTCCGGAAACCTAATGTATATACACACATAGAGAGAGTCAATAACATACAGTTGAAACATACAAATAACAGTTATAATAATAGTATATTATAATAGTATAATGTAATGTTATTACAATAATAAAAATAGACTACTAAATGGTAAAATGCTGAAAATGTCAAGTAACCACATGATCATGCGACACACCACATAATATTTTAGTCAGTGATGACACACATATTTGATAGTGTCCAAATCTTGTTGCCTATGACATCTAGATATGTTTAGATGTACAAATGCCAGTTTTTACAAGTGCCTCAGTATTCAATGCAGTAATATTTGTGATGCCCATGAACAATATGCTCACTACACCATCCAGCCTGGGCACATAGTTGGCTACCCTATCCAAATCTGGATAAGTACTGTATGCTATATATCATTACCTCAAGGGTGATACCACCTAATGACACATTTCTCAAAGGCTTCCCTAATATCAAGTGATGCATGACTATAATTAATTGGTGAGAATAAATTAATTTTATTCACAAAATTTGAAGCTGTCTATCTACATGAAGTATAAAATAGATACAGACTGGTGCAGTAGTACAGCCACTCGGGTGCTGGCCTTCAATGTGGCCAACCTAGGGTCAATTCCCGCAACACATAGGTCCCCCAAATACCACCATGAATAATTCCTGAGCACAGAGTCAAGAGTAAGCCCTGAGCACTCCCAGTGACTCCAAAGCTAATATGTAAATATATACATATATGTTAAAACATCTCAGTTTTTGGAGACAAAGAAAAGTAAAATAAGAGTTCTATGAAAGGAGACTGCTTCTTGTGACTGTGAGCATCTTCCATTCTTGAAGCTCTCCATTCTCCTTTGTAATGAGGTGGAGTCCTCCTCCTTTGTAATGAAGACAATAATTCCTAATTTGCTTCCAAAAAAATCATGTAGCATCAAACAAATAAAGTGTTCTCAGTTTTCTGAGGTTTCATCCAGCATTCTCTTCTTATCCAGTCTGCCTTACAGAAATATTGTGTGGGTCACATGAGTTACGAAAGTACTTTGAAAAATGTGCCATGGAATGAGAGTATAAAATATCAGTGACTGTGGGGACACTGGTGGTAGAATAATAATAGTACATGTAATAGAAATAGAATAGTAACAGTATATGCCTGAAACAATTCTATTATGAACAACTTTGTAAATCAGTGTCTTAATTAAAAATAAATTTTAAAAAATATCAGAGAGGTAAGGGACAATGCTGGAGGGGGTGTCACACTGGTGGTGAGCTTGGTGTTGGAACATTGAATTCCAAAACAGCTGTATTATAAACAACTTTGTAAACCATTGTGTTAAAATAAAGTTTTATTTAAAAAAATAATAATATCAAAGAGCAGTATTACAAATGACAGTTTCCATGTGGAGCACTGGCTGACTGCATGCCTTTTCTCCCTCTTCTTCGTCTACTTCCCCATCTCAATCCTGACCCCCTCCCCAAGACTCCCCAAATTACTCACGTGGCTCTCGCCTTCACTGGGAATCCAGGTACACTGGATCTTCTCACTCCACCTTAGTTGTGGCCCTTCATCCATTCAGCATGAGTCCAAACACACAGATGAGAACTTGTGGAGTTACTGGAGCAAGAAATTTAGGCGACTGGTTGAGAAAGAGCTGTTGGGACGCCCCTCTAGTCTTTGAATGAAGAAGAATCTTTTGTTGCCCCACCCAAACTGCTGAAAAAGCCAAACCCTGAGGCTCAAACCTGAAAGTAAGATTCCAATCAGAAGGCTGCCTTCTCCTCCCATCAGTTAGACAACTCTGAAAAAGGAAACAGGGCTACTAGTGAACTTTGAGTTTAACTATGAGTCCTATAGACCTGCAGAGTAATTAGCAATCTCTGCCTTCCCCAGACCAGGGCTCCATTCCACACCTGTCCACTTGGGTACACTGAGTACACTGTCTTCACCCTTCCCTCAACTCTACCACAAATTTAGAATTTCCCTACCAGTGCTTTAGTCCTCATCTTACTGAAGAAAAAAGAGAGGCACAAAGAAAGGTGTTCCTTATCCAGGAACGAAACCCCAGGTCAAAGTCCCTTGTCTACTAATTCTTAGCTCATTTTCTTGGTTCTTTATCTCTCTTCCTAAGTAGTAAATAGTATAATTACACTTTAGTATTGTGCAAAAAAAAGTGCCATAAATTCTCAGAACAATTTTGATCACAATAATTTTAACCAGAGATAATATATTGGCATGTTGTTTGTGTGATAAGCACATTGTGTGTGTGTGTGTGTGTGTGTGTGTGTGCGTGCGTGCTCGCGCTGGCATGTCCTTGTGAGGTGAGCAGCTCAGATTAGACTGAATATAAACCCCTTTAAGTAAGTTGTTCTCTTTTTTAAACTTTATTTAAGCACTTGATACATAATACTGTCCATATTAAGTTGATCACTTGATCCCCCATTATTCATCAATTTACTCGAGCGGGTGCCAGTAATGTCTCCATTCATCCCTGTTGCATGCTAGCATAGCCCAATGGCATCTGTTCGTTCTAGGAACATGCAGAGCCTCAAACTGATCATTCAGGGTGTTGACGAAGAAGTCTGACCATCTTGTAGGTGGGTGTCCACGCGATTTTTTGACGTCCTGTGGAATCCAGTCAGTAATGGTTCTAGTCCAGCGGTTGTCTGTAAAGCTCATTACGTGTCCAGCCCATCTGATTTTTGATGCCTTGGCAAATGAGACAGTGTCTCTGATTCTTGAGCGTTGACGGACATCAGAACTCCGGATTCTATCTCTCATTTGAGTGAATCGTGATATTCCAAGCATAGCTCTTTCGATTCCTCTTTGAGAGAACGAATAGTGTTCTCATCCTGTTTTCATAGGGCCCAGGTCTCTGAGGCATATCCTAATGCAGGGAGAACAGTGGAATCGAAGAGATGTGCTCGTAGCTGGAGGTTCTTTGTCCTCTTAGTTATTTCTTCAATGCTCTTGAAGGCATTCCAAGCCACTCTCTTCCTCCTGCACAACTCAGGTGCCAGGTCATTCATCATGTTGATTTCTCGACCTAGGTATATATAACTGTTGCATTCAGAGATGATGGTTCTGTTGAGAGCGAATGGAGCGTCAGGAACGAGGCTGTTTCTCATAAACATTGTCTGTAAGATTCAACTGTAGTCCGACCTTTCCACACTCATGGTCGAAGTCGGTCAGCATTTGTGCCACTTGGCTGATGTTTGGTGTTATTAGAACGATGTCATCAGCAAAGCGAAGGTGGTGTAGTTGCCAACCATCTATCTTCACTCCCATTCTTTCCCATTCCAGTCGTCGCATGTATATTAAGTTATATATTACATATATATAATTGCATACATCAAAAATATAATATTACTGCCCAACACCCATACCAGGCTATAAACATCTTCCACCACTGTATTTTCACCTGCCCAAAGTCAGTTTTTTGTAATCAGAGCACAAACACCCTTGAGGATCTGGATTCAAGAGTTCTCCTGAGCTGTTGAAATTTGTTTTAGGTGTTATAGAGCCCTGAGGGATATAGATGAGGAGTGGTGCTTGAGGGTTCTGCCATTTCTTGCACTTGGGGAGCTGCTGATTTCTTCTTTGAGTTTGGGTGTAGGGGGTAAAGTAGCCAGAGACACCAGTGGTGGTGAGAGGAGAGTCTTAATTGGAGCATATTCTAGCTGCCTTGTTCCAGCCCTGATACGGATGTTCATTTGTGATTACCAAGTTCTTAAAGATGCTTAGACTCGGGGTTGGAAAAGAGAAAAATTTATTGGAAAGTAGAAGAGAGAAGATTGCTGATTTCCACTCAGCTCCCCAAGTGGGGAGGGACTTATTAATATGACTAATTAAAAGATACTTTTAAGTTCTGTGTAGGTTTTTTTTAAAAGCCCTTTGCATTTCTTATCAATGGACAAATATTACAAAGAATGCAGGTTATCTACAGGTGGTAAGGCTGGTTTGGATCTTTCAGGCCATCTGCCTCAGGTATTTTCTTTATCTTACTCT